TTAACTTTAGTGGAAGAAATAAATATGTATAAAACATACAGATGAAAATTTTAAGAACATTATGATACTCAAAATAGTACAGGAGCACAGAGATGGGAGATATTCTCAAAAAGAGTATGTATTTTATAACAAAGTAGTTCCTCTATGAGATGAAAAAGAAAAAAGGGACCAGGCTTATTTAATCAGGAAAGGAAAGAAAAAAAAAAGCTGGCTGTCTTTTAACAGTAATCTGCAATTATTTTAATACTAAAAATATGTACTGAGCATCTAATGTTCCTGCCACAAGGGAGGTTATATTCCAATGGGAGTGAGGAAGACCACTCGTAATTTAAACAAAAGAACAAAAAAAAAAAACACCTTCGAATTGTAATAAATTCCCAAAGGAAATAAACAGGATAACATGATGGAAACTAATTGTAGAAAATTTCCTTTACACTGATCGAAGGCCTTTGTGACATTTCAGCTGACACCTAAAAGATGGGAAGGAACCAGTGAAAGAAAAAACAAGTAGAACAATATAGGAAAAGAGCATAAGCCAGAAAGGAGCCTGACATATTTGGAGACCAGTGTAGCTGTAACAAAATACACAATGGAAAGAGTGAATGGGTGAGACTGGAGAGGTATACCAAACACAGACTGCATTAGGGGCTTGGGTTTTGTTCTGACAACTGGAAAGCCATGATCTGATTTATATTTGATTACTTTTGCTTTTATATGGAAAATGAACTGCAGGGGTAGACCAATTCGGCTGTTGAAACAGAACACAAAAGAGGCAATGATGGCTTGGTCTGGATGGAGGCTGTATATCCTAGATATATAATATGGAGGTTGAGTTGACAAGATTACTCATAGACTAGCTGTGGCGAGTGAAGGAAAAGAAAGCCAAGGTGAGTCTTGTTTCTTGCTCAAACAACTTTCAGAGGGTGATGATAGGTTTATTCAACTTCATAAAGTTGAAAGCCCAGACAAGAAAAAGCCTTAACTCAGCAAACGGAATGCAGAATTGGAAGAATAATTATCAAATTCTAAAATGAACTGTGGTACCAAGGTAATTACATTTCCATAGGAATTAGCCAGCTTAAGAAGGAGCTGAAGCTGGGAAAGGAAGTCAGCAGTTTAGAATCCTTGCTACCTATAATTGTTTTAAAGCATACAGAAATTATACATCCACGTGCACATAGACAGTACCTCCATAATAAAAAATTGTTCCAAAAAATAAAAAATTTTAAAATAATATGTCAACATTTTCTTTTAATTACAAACATATGGAATTGAAAGTATATGGAATTGATGAGAAAAAGTCCTGCTCTACCTCACAACAAGAGTAGTGTCTCTCCACTGCCTCAAACCTCCTAAAACTCTGGTTCTTAACTAGAAATGAACATAAGAATTACCAGAAAGGCTCTCTAAAAACAGACATCTGCAGAACTGGAGGAAAAAGGAAGGATCTGGGTAAGAAACTGGAATGGCAGGGTTAGGATGGATCCTGGTGAGGAATATTCATATATTTTAAAAGCACCTTAGGAAATGATGCACATCCTTGGTTACTCTTTAAAAGACTAACATTGACCCAAACTAATTTTCACACAATTGTGGTTAGTAGCTTCTTCTAGTATTAATGGTGGAAGCCATGAGATAATTTATTGTAGTTAGAAATAGTTCATGAATATAAGTAACTGAGCTGGTCTGATTGTATATTAGTGTTAAAAGTCAGAACTGCTGAAGTGGCAAATTAAAGGGTCCTTTACACAAATTGTATTTAAAAATAGATCTTTCTTTTGGAGGTGACTGGAGGGGTAAGCATGTTCCCTACTGATTACAGCTTAAATATAGGAATACTTTATGATAAAACCAAGTCTAAACATGTACTCAAAAGTTTCTCCAAGCAATTTCCCCATGGGGTACTAATGTGATTTTCTGTGAAGGTACATACAAAATTACCTCCAGGAGTTAAGTATGAGAGAAAAAAAAAAAAACCCTCAATAAACTTAAATTTCTCAAACTTTAAAAAAACTGGAGATGGCCCTGGCCGGTGTTGCTCAGTGGTTAGAGCATCTGCCTGGGCACCAAAGGGTTTGGGATTCAATTCCCAATAAAGGGCACATACCTGGGTTGCAGGTTTGATCCCTGGCCCTGCTCTGGGCACATGCACGAGGCAACTAATCCATGTTTCTCTGTGTTTCTCTCACTCCCCCTCCCTCCCTTCCACTCTCTCTATAAAAAAAAAAAATCAACAGAAAAAATATCCTCAGGTGAGGATTAACAAAAATTAATTAAAAAGATTAAAAAACTGGAGGTGCATTAATATTTCACCAAGTCATTTTATTTAATGCAACAAAACTAAAAATTCCTCTGGAAATAAATTACTTTTCATTAGATAAAAATTTTAAATTAAAAATATATTCTTTTTATACAAATAAAGATGAAAAACTCCAAAAGAAAAAAGTGACAACTCCAAAAACTTGTCATAAGTTCCAAAATTTTAAGAAACAATGCAACTGAGCAAACCACAAAATCCCTGCTTCTCTACAGAAGAAATTGAAATGCATAATTTAAAAAAATTTTAAATACTGTGTGAAGTAACTAAGATGAATAATAAAATGGAATATAAGTAATTAACATGCAAGACTCTAGACAACTGTATATCAAACAAGAAAAATCATACTATTTATATTCATAATGTTCTAAGATTTTCATCACAAATAAAATATTCTTTTTCATTCTTTTAAGAAATATAAAGAACTAGCATTGTTTTTACTTTTAGGAAAATATAAAGAAAAAGTATGAAATATTTAACTACTAAAGTAACATTTCAATTATAAAAATTATATTTGACTAAAAGTACAAATATTTTCTCTTCATTACATTACACAATAAAAATAACAAGTTTCAACATGCTCCAAAAAGCTTTCTGTATTTATTTTTTTAATGTAAATAACCTTTAATAGAAACCATGTGGATCTGGCCAAAATAAACACAACTTGGTTTCCATTTCTGGTTTTCCCCTCAATATCTAGAGAATTTCAGCAACTGATTTATATAATCATACTTCATTTTGGCTGAATATCCATCTGTGATAAAAGGTATTCGGACTACCAGGATATTAGAAATACTATAAACATTAACAAAACCATTAAGAACCCTAAAAATTTCTCATAAAATTTATTGAATTTCATTGACCAAATCTAGGCAAATACTGTGAGTTCATATTACGAATGTAACCTGAGTTTAATCAACCACACTCTTACATAATATCTGATGGGAACCATAGCCTGCACAATTATTCTGCCTTCCATGTCTACACACAGTAATCTTCCCTTTGACCTAGCTTCAGCCTTACTTTATCAATAGCCTCATTTCCATCTGAGGTTTCATTAAATAATTCAACAAATATTAGAATACTGACCGTGTGTAAACTACAATGCCTAAACCCCTAAAAATGTAAGTTGTCCATGTTAAAAAAAAATAAAACAAAAAAACTTTTAGGGTTTGAATTACAATTTTAAGAACTATACCCTCTGGCCTGTAGAGTAGGTAACTTACTCTGATCATGATATTTGAAGAAACAGAACATGAACTGCTTGCCCACAAACTTGGCCACATGATCTGAAATGATAAGATCTTCCCTATCGTATGCAATGATGGCAATCTTTTAAGTCATAACAATTAGGTTACTTAAAATTAAAGGTCAAAACAAAATGGGAAAAGGATAGATGTTAGCTACCAAACTCAGATCAAAAGAACCATTTTTTTCTTCTCAAGTGATAGTGAATATTTATGAGTAAATGGTATCCACCTCTTCATTCATAGTGATAAATTATGTTGTGTTGTTTATAAACCAGAAACTTACTCTAAGACAAGTTTGCCTGATTATAAAAAATTATATATTCACAAAAAATAATGTAAGATTAATATTAGTTAACACTATAATTTTAACTTTGAATTTCTACATAAAAATTTCAAAACATACATAGTGAAATGTAATGCACAAATAAGATAATTGATTACTAGTTCTAGACCCATGGGGTTTTACATTTTATTTATTTTTTTGGAAATGCAGAATCACTTGATTTTTTTTAAAATATATCTTTATTGATTTCAGAGAGAAGAAGGGAGAGGGAGAGAGAGAGATAGAAATATCAATGATGAGAGAGTCATTTGATCGTCTGCCTCCTGCACTCCCCTTACTGGGGATCAAGCCCACAACCTGGGCACATGCCCTGACCGGGAATCGAACCTCAATCTCTTGAATCACAGGTTGATGCTCAACTGCTGAGCCACACTGGCTAGGTGGGTTTCACATTTTAAACATCCAAGGTACTTATGCTATTCATTTTTCAGGTGTTGTGAAAATTTTACTAGCCGTATAACAATTGACACTATTTTTGTCCCATTAACAATAGTAAGGTAGGAGAGGTCCGTTGCCCCAATTTTATTAAAATTATATGTGATCTTGACTTGAGTTTCAGTAACCCCTATAACAATTCAGTGGTTACTTGTCTGATAACTTCAGTTATCCAGAACATAGACAGGAACCAAGAAAGTGAAACTAACCTCAGCCAAAGAACAATTTAAAGCCCATGTACCTTATTCACAGGTAACAATTCAAGTCCTTGACTCAGTCTTTTTCTTATTTTTTTTAAATGTATTAAAAAATGTATTTGTATTCTCAGCCCCAAGCAGGTTAGGAGGAGGAGGAGAAGCGGGTTATAAGGAAGAAATAGAAGAGAAGACAGCATAGAACACTTAGTAGAGCAGTGGTACTCAAAATGGCATCCTAGGAAAAATAATCTTATCAGCATCATTTAACAGATTCAGAGAGCAACAGAAAGGTCTTACCTTCAAGGAGTTATAATCTAATATATTAGGGCAAGAGGACAATAGAAAGGGCAAAGAAACTAAGTAATTACAAATTGCTCTATGAACTCTCCTATCTAAGGATATCGACTGTATTCTGGTTCAGTACAATCACGGAGGTACATACAGTTGAACACAGGTCATTAAAAATAAAGTTATATTTTGTTTGAAGCAACAGAGTACTGCAAATTTTGGAAATTTTTGTTTTGAGAAATTGCTGAAAATGTCAAGTTTTGACAGAGCCATAAAGTTTCTGATATCCGAAAATGTCAGGTATGCTGGAAAGCTTCATTTCTTATGATGACGGATAAATCAATTACTGCAGCTGCAGATACAAAAGATGCAAGTAAGATAATGCCCCAAATGCATACACATAATTCAACTGTTAAAATTTTGCATCCAGAAAAGCCTGGGAAATGTTACCTAAGCTCCTTTAAAAAATGGAAGTTCAGGTTTTGGTAGACCGTCATCACTGGAGGAGCTTCCAATTTCCAGACTTGTCCATAACAACTTCCCATTCATGTTCTTCCATGCTTTCCCCCTTCCAGGTGACTAGGGAGATACCTAGAAGCCACTTTACCTGCATCCCTATGACTATGTGGAGGACTGCATCCCAGACAACTGAACATCTATTTAACTGTTACAGAGCAAGAAATAAATTTCTGTCCTGTGAAGCCCTTACATTTTGAATCTGTTTCAACATCACAAAGAGTAGGCAATAAGATTACGGTCTGCAGAAATTATGGCTTAACAGCAGTCTGATGACTACAATTAACATTAATATCTTATTGATCTTACTGTTTTCTAAAAGGTACAAAGCCCCCCCCAAAGGAACTTTTAGTTACTAGTTAAAATTTATAAGGAATATCAATCTAAAATCTGGATAACCACATCTAAAATATGGGAAGATGTTTATGAAATCAAAAGAAAACATCTCCCTTCAGACATATCAGTACGTAAGAGATTCATAACTAAAAAAATCCCAGAACTAAATATTATCACCATATAAACATGCAGTCCACATCTGAATATTCATGGGAGGTTTTACATGTCTGTGTGCACTGGGGTTTTAAAAGGGATACATCTCTTAATTCCTCTTTTACCAAGACAGTCCCACATTCCCTACTCAGGGTAACTGTACATCTGAAGGGCAAAAAGAGTAAAAAAAAAAAAATTACTTTGATATATGAATATGACTAGTCAAGTTGAGAACAATCAAAAAAAAATTCAAGAAACAGAAGAGGCTGCCACCACTGAATTTAACCCTACAGAATTAGAGGACCCCTCCTAATTAGACATGTTACATGCAGCACAGTACTTTTATTCACACACACACTCTCTTTCCACTGCGTAGCTACAATGTACCAGGCACCACTGAGCCAAACAGTTAAAAAAAAAAAAAAAAAAAAATCCCTGGAGTCGTCAACCTATTTGATTAAAAGAAAAAGATTTCTAACTCTCCACACCCAGCTAAAAATCAGGAATGTCTTCTCTGCCTCTCAGTTCATCCAAAACGACTTCAACACTCTGAGTTACCCCAGACTCTAATCTTATACTATGGAAACAAAACTCCCCTCATCTCCACCTATGATACAAAGGCAGCCTTGGTGGGATTTCCTAGTTACACAGTCCATATACCTTTGAAAGTGCTTTTAAAGTCTAGTACAAAAATCAAACTCTTCTCTCCTTTTTGCTACCTCTCATCACTGTCTTCATTTCTGTTTCCTTTTAGTGTACCTATCTCCTACAGAACAATGTGTCACAAAACTACAGAATTTTAGATTAGAAAGACTTTCAAAATCATTGCATATTATATTAAATAAATATGCTAAAACATGGGGATCAAAGGGTGTCCCAAATGTCACAGCTACTTTAGTAGAAAAACTGGTACCATATTCTAAAGGCAATGGAGTCCAATGAAAGTGGTTCAAGAGCAGCAAGAGACACTGCTGTAGGTACAGATCACTGAACCTAGATCAGAAGAGAGCCCTACTCACTCCCATAACTCTACCCCTTAATTAAGGGACAAGTTAGCCAATACATGGGATTTAAACAGGAAGTCCGCGTCAGGAACTCTCAAACCTAACAGAATACATTAACCAGGAATTCCCCCACCAGTAGAACAATATCTACTGGGAGCTATTTAAGCCTTACCTGACAGGTCTCCAAGCCAGCTGCAGCAGCCACATCCCTCTCTGTGCCATTAACGTCTCGCCTCAGTTTCTTGAAATTCCCAACTGGGAAGGAAATATAGCCAGCAGGCGCTCCCGACCCAGTTACAGTTCTACAGTTCAACTGTTAGTAACCTTCCCCGGGACATCAACATCTGTATCCATATACATGCATACACAGAGCAGCCCCCATCTAGGATAAGCTCAACATTACAGGGCAATGAAAAGACCCTCTTCACAAAACCACAGGGATCCCTGATCTTAACTATAAATTTTTATTTTGTTTTTTAATGTGGAAAGCAATTCCCAATTTGAAAACCTGGAAAGATTTGAGTGATTCTGCTGAATATACCTGAAAAACAAAGTAGTTACAAAAAATGGAAACATGCAATTTAAACAATACTTACAAATATTTTAACTGGTTTTAAGAATGTTTTAGCACCTCAAAACAGTGACTCTAGTTCTGATGCAGTTAAACTTTCAACAAGAATATTTCTGTTCCTCATATGACTATTCATCTATATCCTCTTGAACATTTGTACTTTTTAGAAGTTCATCAAAGATGTTTACTGAATCATTAAAATTCACTGTACTTAAGAGAAACTCATCAATTTAAAAAAAATTTCCAATATAGAAATGAAGCTTAGTTAAATGAGTAAACATTTACTAGGTACCAGCAATATGACTAAATTTGTACAAGATAAGAAAGGAAAGATATTTTCTTTTTAAGGAACTTGTAACACTCTCAGGCAATCTAGACTGGCACTTAACAATCAGAACATCTTCATGCTCCGCTACCTCTATTGCCATTAAGCATAAAAATAATTCAGAGAAATCAATTGAAACTGAAATATCAAAATTAACTCATGACAGAATTACTTGATAGTCCCACAGAATCCAGTAGACTTTTGAAAAACAAGTATAAGGAAAATATGTTTAGTTACATCCTGTAAAACATGATAATGTTTAAGAATTACATAACTATTTCTTATAACTTTTATTTTCAGTAATTATACCATTTAGTGACACATGAAACAATCTAAAATTACAGCTTATGAAATTTTTATGCCTTTAGTGATTTTAATGTAAAGCCTAAGATACACAGTGAAATTTTAAATATGAACTTAGATATTCGCCATCTGCAAGACTGTTAGCAGAGTTTCCTATTTTCCTAATGGTATGTACACTCCTTAGCTGGATATCAGAGTAGTAATACAGTGAGATAGATCTGTGGACTTAGTTTTATCCACACTAGTGTTCCAGCCATTATGACTTAACAACAGTTCATGATTTTTTACCTATACAGTTTGCTAATTTTAGCAATATTTTCCCAGTTTGTCCTCTCGTTTTTCAGTCATACAAACAGATCAGTTACATGGACAGACACACACAAACAACTAGCCTTAAAAAAATAGTAATTGAAAGGACTATCAAGCAGAAAAGATTTTTATTTATTCCATTCAATACAAAGGGAAAGAACTAGGGACTAGTGGGTAAAAGACAAGACAGAGTTTAGTTCAGGTAAGATATCATTTTCTCTTTCATTTAAACTATAAAAATGTACACTTGGGCTGCCTTGGTTACCTAATGAATTTCTTATATCTTCTGTAAGTGACAAGGCAGAAGCTAGATGATAATCTGTCAGGAGTGCCACCTCTAAACTGGCATAAGGCTGAACTATATAAACCCCAAAGGTTCCATCTGGATCAATGACCAACATCAGATTATCACACAGGCCAACTATTATACAAGTGAATTGAATTAAGCCTCCATTTTATTCATCTATGATATGAAATGCCATAGAGCTAATGAATCACAGAACTTTACTTTTTAGCATTGAACTTTAAAAGTAAAAGGGATCTCCTTACCCAAACCTTTCAACAGTATAAGAATAAAGAGCTTTATTTTAAATAATGTATTATATATATAAAAAAAAGTTTAATACTTTAATATTTTTGAACAAGAATAATGAATAAATAGAAATTTCCTCTTTTCCCCACACCCTGACCAAGCTAAAAAATATATTAAAGAATATTAGCCAATTTTACCCATCAACTTGATACTCTCAGGAATATATAAGAAATTATTAAGTGTTTCAAAATCTAGAACTAAAAGCATAATAAATGAGTACAACTATTTAAGTTTAGTAAGTTTAGTATAAATAAATGCTTTTCCCCAAATCAATCATCCAAGATTTGTCATAATAATGTACAATAACATATATCAAATGGTCCAAATATATGCACCATCCTTATGAAAGAATGAATATTTGAAAATGCTCAAAGTCACTTACAACTTTCTCATTTATGAATCAATGATGGCATTTTCAAGTCCAAGAAATCCCCTTTGCCTCTCCCAAGTGTTCACACACAATCGAGCAGAACAAGAGATGCTCAATTCCTGAGTTAGAATTGCACATTAAACCACCAGATGATATATCATTACACCATCCAGAACTGTATGCTCCTGTTACTACCTCTCTTAAACACTTTCAAAAAGACTGTGGCTAATACTGAGGTAATTAAAGCACATCAAGACTTAGTTTATTAAGTCTACTACCAAATCAAAACACTCTTACGAAAAATTCTGATTAAGAAAAACATTCAGCAACTGGTTCCCATGATAAAATTCTTTTTTATGGCACACACACAAAAAAGCATAAACTATCATTTCATATACTTAGTATAGTCATATTTTCATTCCTAAAAATCTATTTAAAAACTGTTGGCCTAGTGGGTTTGGCTCAGTGGTTAGTTAGAGTGTCAGCTTGTGGACTGAAGGGTCCTGGGTTCAATTCCAGCCAAGGGAACCTGTGTTGCAGGCTCGATCCCTAGCCCTGGTCCAGGCACATGCAGGAGACAACCAATTGATGTGTCAGTCTCACACTGATGTCTGTCTGTCTGCCTGTCTCTCTCTCTCTCTCCCCCCCCCTTCCCCTTCCACTCTTTCTGAAAAGTAACAGAAAAAAATATCCTCAGGTGAGGAATAAAAAAACAAACAAAAAAACCCTGTTTGCCTAAAGCAAAAGCTATTAGAAAAATATATCTTTAGACTTAGGCATTACTTTAAAAGTATTTTACTATAACATGCTCTGGAAACAAACTGAAATACACTTTGCTAAAGCTGTGTTAAACCAGTGATTCTTAACTTTTCAAGGCTGTGAACCTCAGGATAATACAAGCTGTGACCAGAGAAAAGTACCCAAGTTAAATGCTATACCCCACACGCATATAAAAACTACCTTCATAGAAGATATGAAGAATTTTGCTATTTTCTTAGGTTAAATGTACATAAAACAAGCAAGCCTATAAATCCTTGGTTTCTTAAAACTATTTAAAATAGAATAAAATGGTTGTGTATACAATTCAATAGAAACATAGCATGGGCTGCATATTTTTAATACTTTTAAATACCTTTTAAACCTAATTAGCTATAAATTCAAGTAACTTATGTATAAAGTTATACTTGTTGCATTAAAACTTTTTTTTTTTTTTTTAAATATATCTTTATTGATTTCAGAGAGAGGAAAGGAGAGGGAGAGAGAGACAGACAGAAACATCAATGATGAGAGAGTCATTGATCAAGCCCGAAACCTGGGCATGTGCCCTGACCGGGAATCGAACCCTGATCGCCTGGATCCCAGGTCGACACTCAACCGCTGAGCCACACCCGGCCGGGCGCATTAAAACTTTTTAAAAATACAAATCATACTTTGAAAGTGATCAAAACAAGTTTTTAAAACAGTGACTTGATTCATTCAAGATCTACTATGTTCCTGAAATTACGCTTTTGTTTCTTATAATTTGAGGAAGTTCAAAACCTTAATAATCTACTCTACTTTATTCAAATATTTTTACATTTTGGTCAAGAGATATATTTAAGTATGTATTTTTTCATATGTAATGAAAATGACATTACTCTAGTTTGAATGTCAAAATATTTAAGGCTTCATTTTTTTTTTTTTTATTTTAGAAAAACAATAGTTTGACATATTTTCAAGAGTAATGATCTGGAATAGAAACTGGAAAAAAAAATGAAACTTTATAACTGAAAATTATCGATAGGTTATACCTATAGTAGACAAGAAGCATTAACAATAAATCATCACTAAGGTAAACTTTATGACCTTTTTTATTCTACAACCTTAAAGTAGAAATTTCATAACCATTCCTAGGCTTGGAAAAAATAGCATTTGTGGGTAAGAAATAATAGAAGACATTGAAGGGGTAAATGGTTTTTCTGAAAGTAAATCAGACCTAATTTTTTCTTTGCTCATCTCCAGAGATGATAAGCCATTAACTAAAAGGACAAAATATGAAAATAATAAATGCAAAACCATTCATCATTCCAGTATTTTTGGAAAATATTTTAGCTTAGTTTACTGTCATTTTAATGAAGAAAAATTTTTAAATAACATGTATAAAAATTTTAAGGAATATGTTTAATATGAAATACTGACCTATTTCCAATGGTTCCAGACAGTAATTACTCTTATCAACAGGAAGTAAAAGAACCATTTTAACATTTTAACTATGTCGATGAGTAAGTAGTTCCTCATCTAATTTAATTTTTAAATTAATTAATTTCACCCCAAATTTAGGTTATATAATACCCAATGGGGGCCAAAGAGACACCACCATACACATAAGTTAATACCTATTGAAAAGCTTAAACATCACAACATTAATGGATTTCTTAAGTAAACATTTTCAAGATCTAAAATTCCCTTTGACATTTTAACTCCTCAAATATTTATAAACCCTATTTTTTTAATGGCAAGCTTGAACACCTCTGATCAAAGATGTGAACAAAATACTTATTTTTGAAACAAGGGAAGAAGTGTTGATAAGCTAAAATAAAGTAGTACTTAATTACAAAAGAAAAGGTTTTCTAATTGGCATATGAATACCATTATTGTGGGTGCTTTATATACACTGTTCAGAATTCTGGACAATTGTTAAATTTTAGATGTGTAGCTGACATGGAGATTATGCTCATGTACACAATGTGAACATACCTCAATGGGAAAAAAATCACAGTAGCATATTACTTACAAGTAAAACTTTTAAGCTACCAGGGATATTCAATTCTGACAATGCTCTCTAGGGAAGAAGGGAAAATGTTTACAAATTTAACTAAATCTGAAAGTAGAAGAAAAGGTAAGGGGACAAGTGAGGAGAAGGGGGATGAAAGGAAGTGGGAAATGAGTGGAGAGGAAGAGTGAGAGAGAAAGGTGGGGGAAGGAGGCATTAATTAAACCCTTGGCAACACAAGGTTATTAGCCTCTGGATACATTTGATACTTTACATGCTAAACCAGATGCTCTGTTCCCTAAAGTTATCATTACCTTCTCTCATTCTTCCCCAAAAGGTCCTTGGCTCTGTATCAGTATCAAAACCAACAATTTCACTTACTAATTGGATTAAGCCCTGGAGGCAGTATTAGTTCCAGGCTGATCTAGACACATATTTTGGCTTCATTTAGTGTGCGTACATTTCATTTTGTTTCTGTTTTTTGAAACATTCAAGACCAAGTGGTGATTGTCCAGTACAGGTTCTAGAAACATAATCTGTGTGGGAAGCTCAAACATTTTACAGACACAAGATAACCTGTTTAGCACTTATAATAAATTCAACATAATTCTGCATACCTTACTTTTCTGATTAAGGTACATAGCAGTAGAGATGGCTGATGTTAACTATCTAAGAAATGTTTCATATTTTTATATTATAATAGTTTATGTCATAGACTAGAAGGCAAAATTTGAACGGATTATTAAGATAAAAGAGAGGACTTCAAAAAAAAGAGTTCTCAAAGGGTCACTGTGACCCCTCAGGACCCCTTCGGTATAAGTGCATTTGTTTAAATCATTCTATCACTCTGGGTAAACCTGGAAGAAAATGATTGAGAAATACTATTTTGCCTGAGTCGATAACCCCTAATGCTTTGTTTCCTACTATTTATTTCCTACTATTGTTTATAATATTTTACTCAATTAAAAATTACTATTACAGCCTTGACCAAGTGGTTCAGTTGGTTGGAGCGTAGTCCCATACACCAAAAGTCTGCTGGGTTCCATTCCCAGTCAGGGCACACACCCAGGCTGCGGGCATGTATAGGAGGCAACACATCTCTGTCTCTCTCTCTCGCTCTCTCTCAAATCAATTTAAAAAACCATATCCTCAAATAAGGATAAAAAAAAAATTGCTATTACAGATTTATAATTAAACATCTAAACAGTAATAAATACACCTAAACTTACATTATAAATGATAAAGTTTTTCTTTAGAAATTTAGTACAAAAGGACTTTTAAGCACATATACACATCAATATTTTATTTCTCACGCTCTTACAGAAGTTTTTGAGTGAAATAGCACTGACTTTACAAAAAAGGGAAATACTATGGTCCAGATAGATACTTTTCCTAAATAACCATTTTCTTCTTTAAATTTATTTCTATACTTGTAAACACCCTTAATATATACTTTTTGTTCATATTTAAATTTTGCTTTCAATTTTTCAACTCTGGTACTAAAATCCAGAACATAAAACTCATAATGCGTTCAAATGTGAATCATTCAAGTATACAATTTCAGTTCTGATAAACTAACAGTAAATGGCACTTAGAGATTTGATATCTGGAACTCACTGGAAATAGGTACTCAACTTACCTGGTGCTAATGCAGCAGCAGCAGGACTTCCCACAGATGGGTGAGAGAAAACTTGAGAGAAGGCAGACATATTTGCCTGGGACACGTTACTCAGCCTGGAGGTTGATCCTCCTTTAGGAATAAACTCGCTTGCAGTAGGATTTGGTGTCTATTTAAAAATCAAATATAGTAAGTTAACACACTTGAAGCCTAAAAAAGACATTGAATCTACTAGGCATTATTCCACAGTGTTTTATTTACTGAGTAAAATATTTTACTGAAAAGATTTACAGGTTTTTTTTCATTTCCATATTTTAGGGTG